ATTTTTATGATATAACCAAAATTTTCAAAATTCGATACTATAATAATAATAATTATTTTAATATTATTTTATCTAATCAATTGTTCATACTAAAAAAGTATTGCAAAAATTATATAACTGCAATCGATATAAAAACTAACATGTAAGTTAATTGTTTATCGTTCATTTTTACTAATGATAAAATTTATAAAATGTGATATGCTATTATCTAACTTATGATTTTAAATATTACACACACATACATATAACATATAAAATTGTATTTGCATATGTGCATGTGCACAGGATCGAATACTAGTATATCATATTATATAAATTAAATTATCATTCATGTTTTGTACCAAAAAATAAAAATAAAAATACTAAAATTCATAATTTTTCATTCTCTACAAATAGAGACCACATTTGATATTTTTTGGAACACAATTAATTTATCATTTTTTACAATTAATATATCTTATTGGAAAATTATGATGCAAATCTATAATAAGATGAATATGTTACATAGTAAGATGAACATGTTATAGAGTAAGATGAACATGTCATAGAATAAGATGAAAATGTTATATTTTCACAGATGAAATTTAGATGAACATGTTCTAAAATAAGATGAACATGTTACATAATAAAATGAACATGTTATAGAATAAGATGAACATGTTACATGATAAAATGAACATGTTATAGAATAAGATGCACATGTTTAGATTCCATATCTACATCACGGGCTCTCACATTATTTTCTCCCATTTCCACTTTGTTGAAGAGTGTTTTCGGTCAACGGTTAAAATGATAAATGTCGAAAGCGAAAGATTGGGAGCGAAAAGAAGATTTGGTTTAACTACGGTTTTATTAGGCGATCACGAAACCGGCCTCTCGTACGAGGTCGACACTTGTGATTTACTTACAGTTCTTACAAGGAGTTTCTTACAGCTTAGAGAGAGAAAGTGGAGAGATAGCAGAGTTAGTTGAGATTCAACAACCTAAAATAAATAAAGTGAGCTGCTATTTATAGTAATCTTCAATGTGGCACTGTTCAGCTACTGTTCACCAGTGCACAGTAGCTTTGCAGAGCAGTTCGGCGTCTTTCTGACATCTATTTAATGCGATTTGAGGTTTCTTCAATCATTACTTGTCAGACATTAAATGTCAGCATGGGGGACATTTAATGCTGGTAGACTTTATTGACTAGGCTTGTTAGTAGGATGCTAGGCTATGATAACCTGTCCTATCATCCAGTGACGGCCTTCCAAGTGGGAATATTTTAATGCTCATCGAGCCCCGCCCTTTCTCTCTGGTCGGCCACCCTGGATCTTCAGGTCGGCACCTTACTCGAACGTGTTTGCGAGACGGTCAATAGCATACTTCCTGCACGGTACCCTCCCAGGTCGGCTTCTGTTCGAACTGAGCCAGGTGTCGGTCTAGGGAAACGTTCCCACGGCAGTTCTGTGTATCTTTAATCTTCGGTTCAGCTCGGCACCCCGACATCAGACCGGGTCTTCAGCCCGGTATTTGTTATGTTTTTGTGGTATGTTATTGTGTTTTATGTGCTTGAGTGGAGTCATTTTTAGTTTCGTTTGAGTGTCAACCGGTCCTTTATCGCATTTTATGTGTTTTTGCTTTCGTTATGTGCTTTTGTATTTTGTCGTATCTTCGCGT